CCGAACCACCGGCAATTCCGTAGTCACCGAGCTTCTGCCATGCGCTTGTTGGATGGCTGCTTCCAGACTTTTTGCTGCTTGCTCCACCCCCTCCTTATCCTCTACCTGCGGAATTTTGTTTAGTAGGTGTGTGAGCTCTTTGAACTTTACCCAGTTTGTTGTGGTTCTAGTGCTGCGCAGTGGTGTCCTTTCTTCGTGACCACAACACAACAAGATTGGGTTCTGGTAGGAGGTTCCCTCTTCTACAGTCTGGATGCTGGCCGGTTGCCTCATGTTCTTGATTATGGCAATATCCAACACTTCAGGAGCTCCCGATCTAGTCGGGATATCAGTCGGAATCTCTGGGCCCAGGATTACTCCACCTTGAGCATCTACTACTTTACTACTTCTGCTAACAGTCGGCCTTTATTGCAGGTTCGCGTGCTATTCCACTCCGTGTTTTTGCAGTTTAGGTCGCCTATCAACAGCCTTGCTTTGTTGTTTCCTAACATTGTCTGGATGTCCAGCAGGTCCAGGGCTTCCTGAGGTGCTCTGTAAACAGAAGTAACAATTACTGGCCCTTTGGAGGTGTTGATTTGCACGCTGATGGCGTGTATGTCTGTATCCTCTACTCCTATGCTGTGGTGGTGGATGTCTTTCCTAATTAGCAGGGCCTTTCCTCCACGTTGGGTGCTGTCGTCGTGCCTGTAAACTTCGTAATCTTGTATGTTAATCCTAATATTACTTGCTACCTTGGTTTCCTGGAGTGCTACCACTTCAGGATTCCTGTTGTTCAGGAACTCGTCTAGCTTTGGACGGCGAGTCCTTAGCCCATTGACGTTCCAAGACGCTACTGTAAAACTGTCAGGCCGATTAGGCATGGAGCCGGGACATTACTGCCGGGACAATGGCTTCCAAGGACTCCCTGTCCATTGCTGCTACTTGTTCCTGCCTACTGCTGCGAGGGGTGGTCCTTTTCGGAGTTGATTTCCTGTCTTCCTTGCGGTCGACCGGAATCTTACTCTTGGGGTACATGGGGCATCCCCTCCAGCTGGCTGGATGCCCTTGGGTGCCACATAGCGCACACTATCCAGACGCTTCGGGGGCTGAGTACTTCAATTTTTTACACTACAATCTATTTGACTTATTGGAAGATTTTCCTCTCCAACAACGACAACAAATGTGGCATATGCACGATTTTTCCGCTGCTCATCTTTCTTTGCCGGTCCCATATTGATTTGATCAAAATTTTCCAGGCCGTTGGATTGGGAGAGGTCAAGAAGCTCCTATAAACTGGCCTCCTAGATATCCCGATCTAAATGCGCATCATTTTTACTGCTGGAGC